CGATCCTTCTGAAACTTGGCACATAGATTAATTAGACATTGACAGTAATAACCGCACTGCTAATTGCTCCTAAATACATCCAATAATAGTGCTTCATTTTCAAAAGAGAGAAAATTTGTGTTTCACCATAATTTATTCTTTATTTGAAATGCTCAAAATTTTGTATAACCGCCCTTTGCATTGATGACTGCTTCTATACGTTGAGGCATGCTGCTATAGTATGCCTCCATGTCACCTTTGCAAAATTTGTACTATTCTTTTTCGACCCTTGACCACAATTCGTCCAGATTTTTTGGTTTTGTATCATATCCGGCTAGCCTGCACTTTAACTGTTTCCAAAGATGCTCTATTGGGTTCAAGTCGGGCCTGTTAGGTGGCCAGTCAGCAATAAAGTGGGCTTTGTGGACTTTAAGCCAAGAAACGGTAGCCTTTGCTTTGTGTTTTGGGTCGTTGTCTTGTTGAAATATAGTTTTTTGTGGGTCCATACTATAATACTCCAATGTATCTAGGTATGACGACCCTAGAATTTCCAAATAGCAATCGGTATCCATTGTCTTTTGAAGCACTCGAGAGGCATATCCTACTCCGGAAGATGTCATGCACCCCCACATCATCAGAGAGCCACCTCCATGCTTGAGCAATAGCTTGTAGTTATGGGGCCTCGCTTTAAACCCTTGCTGTAACCAAGTGTATGTTGCACCATCTGATCCCCAAAGATTGATCTTCGTCTCGTCGGTAAAAACGACATTCTTCCACTCATTTGCGGACCAGTTACGATATTTTAAGGCCCATTTGTATCTCTTCGAAAGGTGAGAAACTCTCAAAAAAATTTTCTTCTGCTTGAGCTTTGAGTATAAACCTACCCTTTTCATCAGAGAGACTATTCCACTATACTTCAAAGCAATACCCTGTCCAGACAACCAAGTTTGGACTTCTTTGACATTCTTCAATGCTCCAGTTCGGATTTTTATTCGTAGCAAACAAGCCGTAAGATGACCTACTCTTGATGGTCTACCGGTACCAATGCAAGTTTTCATTTCTGGCAACTCTTTTCTAATACGAGAAACTGTTGATTTGGTAACATCTGTTAGTTTTGAGACCTGACAAATCGATTTGCCAGATAAAAGTGCAGATTTGACATTGTTTCGTTTATCGTACGGGAGGCTGTAAGGCATGATAATAAGGAGAAAAGGTATGTATATAGAATGAAGAAAAGAGAATTTTTTTTGAGAAGCTTGCCGTATTTATATGTAGTCGGGTAGGTTGTGCTAGAATTTGCCGAAGAATGTGGAAAACGCGCGATTGAGAATGCTTATTCGCCGAAGAAAATAAGGTATTCAAGTTTTGCAGGAAATTTTTTTGAAAACGCTACGTCATTTTTTACCTAAGTTGTCCAAAAATGGTATCCCTTATTAAATAGAGAAACTGAAGTAACAAGCAAAAAAATGCGCTTTTTCTGATACTAACACAAGGTCAATACGACGAAAATATATTAATTTATGCTTACAAATGAATTTTATGGGTCACTTAATGTAGCCACTGTAACTCAGCTGTTTCAAAGCGATGAGGTGGTTATCATGAACCAAGCAAGTCTAGTTAGCCTTAGCACCCTTGTCTTAGTGTTCCAACCCTTAGTTCCAAGCATTAAGTTACCAGCATCCATGGCGTAGTTTTAAGGTAACAATGCCAGGACAAACAATGTCACTTTCCCATGTGCAAATGACCCAGTCGTCAGGTCATAAGGTAGAACGTAATGCCAAGCCTCGTCATATTGTGACTTAGGCCCTTCCTCACTTATATTCCATGTTACCTCAATATTAGTATAAATTGTTTAACTATTCTGTCGTTGAGTTACATCTTCGTCAGTTATACTATCAACTTATAGTATAATAGATATCTCTATATTCTCTAGCCAACTGATAAGCTCATTTTGCCTTCAAAGTATTCTTCGGTCTGTCTTGTTTCCGACATTATAACTGACCGAACAAATTGAACACTTAGATCATCGGTTTATGTATTCCTCTGCCTGTATAGTCAAAACTTTGAAATTGTATAACTCCGTGGATTCTCAACGTACCCAACCGATTGTTTCATTTCCTTGCGTTCGTAAAAGCCACAATGCCTGTCAAACTAAGGAATAATTTCTGTGCAACGTTACCTAAAATTGTATATTACACAAGTATTCTAAGCCATTATTTCTATTTTGGGAGTTTTGTGTGGCCTATCTGTCTGTCTGTCGGTCTTTCTGTCTCACTGTCTACCTGCGCAACTTTTCGCACCATACTTGTATTCTTACCTACCTATTTGGTTAAAAAATATTTTTCGCTGCAACGTCAAGCCCTATGGAGCAAATTACCGCCAAGATTCACGCCCTTGAGGAAGCTTTACCTCAACAACTAGAAAATTTAGACCACTCTCTGTCTTTGCTCAAAACAGATTTGGATAATCTGCAGAATCTTGTTAATACCAATAATCAAGATTTGAACGAGCGTGTAACCACGAATGCACAAAAAGTTTTAGTTAAACTCTAAGAACGTATTACCCAATTCGGTCTGGAAGTACACGACTATTTAAATACCAACGTTGTTTTTTGTAAGGAAAACACCAGAAACAACGCTCCTTTGCCTGCACTAAAAATGCGTAATCCACCTATTTTCACTGGCAAAAATAGTGATTGTGACACTTTCTTCTCTCAGTTTGCTCTGATCTTTGCTTCTGACCCTGCTCGTTTTGTGTCGGATGAGGCTAAAATACTTTACGCAATCAATAATCTGGGGGTAATGCTTTTCTTTACATTCAACCTTACCTCGGACAATTGGATCAACCTGTCAACGAAAGAAGTACTGTATGGACAAGCTACCATTATTTCAGACATACCATGATCACTGCTTCCGGAGATCCAAACCCCGAAAAGACCGCTGTTGACAAAATACGTGCATTGAAACAAACTGGTTCTTGTGCCACCTACTCTGCTGCTTTTCGTGCTCTGGCCATCAAAACAAATTGGGATGATTGTGCTTTGATGTCCCAATATTATTTAAATTTGAAGCCGTTTATCAAGGACGAGCTCGCTAAAAGAGACAAAATTACCGAATTAAACAACCTCATGGACGTTTGTACTGAAATCGACAATTGCTTGTATCAGCGACTCAAAGAGAAGCAATTTGGATACCAAGAACAACGCGATCAATCAGTCAATCTGCCTCGTCAGTCGGGTAATAAGCCATTCAAAAATGGCCAAAATTATGCTACTCCCATGGAATTGGGTAGTCTTAGTCATAATACACCAAGCAACATTATGAGCCAAGAGCGCCAACGACGTAGGGATAACAACCTTTGTCTGTACTGTGGTAAGTCCGGCCATTATGCTAATCGTTGCCCTGTCAAGATTAAATCCGACTCGTTGGCTGTCCTACTTTTGGACAATCAGAATCGCCCGGCAACTCAGGACCATCTTCGTGACGAGTCGCCCGCCACAATCTTGAACAGCCTAAGTTTGGATAGTGGTAACCAAGTCAACCATCTGGGATTAACGGGTAAATGAACCAGATCCTGGGAGCAAGTCGTGTGTGCTTATCACACTTTTAACCAAAAGAAGCAAAGGGTTATTCCACTAGTTGGTTACCAAGAGTACAAGAATACAAGATATGTTGCAGGTAGTGAAAGTGCTCCGGGTACTATCATGGTGTTAACAGTGGAATTAGCTTTAGTTTCTGCAGAACAACAAGTGGTATATTCCAAAGGCCTTTTGGATTCGGGAGCTTCGTGCTCATTCATATCTCAAGCCCTGGTAGATGAAGCCAACCTTCCGATCTACAGCTGTGAACCTCTCTTATTCCGCATGGCTGACCTGACAGTCAAGACCATTAACAAAAAGGCCAGGGTTCAAATGACACTCAAAGGAACCGACCATTCCGAAATGATTGACCTACTTATTCTTGATTCTGCAACCTACCCCATTGTACTGGGTATGAGTTGGCTCTCTAGACATGAACCTATTGTTCATTAGTACACGGTTGTTATCGGTATGACCTGCCTTTTCCGTGACTGTGTACCAGTCAATGTGCGAGACTCACAAGCTGTTCAGGTACGCTATGACTCAGATAGTAGTAGTGATGGGGAAAACGACGGAATTACCGAGTCTGACTCCGATGGGTATAGCTCTAGCGAAGGCATAGTTATTCAGGTTCCCCTCAGTCCTCATGTGGATATACCAAGTCTCGGTGCTGATACGCCAAGCACTTGTATTGACACACCAAGTCCTCGTGCGCCTTCGGCCTCTGAAGAGGAACAGGTTAGTGACTACTCCGAAACTGGTTCCCCATCTACCTCTCGTTTTGCATCAAGTATGATGTTCTGGCCAGGCCCTGGCCGAGACTACAGTACCCCTCCACCTGTACGCTCTCCTTCCTACACGAGTTATTTCTTTGCCGCGTTAAATGCAGTGTGATGATCTGACATTAAATAAGTCTTCAATTACATACTAAAATATATCATAATCAATTTACATCAGAAATAGACATAAAAGAACTTCTTGTACTGAATAAGACAATGTATCTTTTAATAGATCAAGACTTATAACCGAAATCCATAATTTACATTATTTAATTAATCTAAAGTAGTCTATGATATTAGAGACTCAGTCATTTGCATGAACTCTACTACTACTTACTCCGACATCTCTTCATGTATAAATATGCTAGAATAATTTATAGTCAAAAAGAAGAACAATAAAATTGTATAAAACAGTCTCAAAGTATCTACCTTTGTCTCTATATTATCTTATCATATAACTCTCTGTTATCAAAACATCACAATATATATGCTTACCGAACCACATCCAACTTTTCGTCATCAAGACACGATCAATAATTGCCTAAACATGAGCAAGCAACCAAGTCTCTGACTTGTCGATAGCATCCAAACTACCGCATTCCAATTCTCTCGTCCTATTCTCTCTCGTTTAGAGCGCAAGTATAAATATTATCAAACATCTTATCTTAACTTAAATCATGAGGTTCCTTTCGACCAGATTTATTGTCCCAACTTTGTTCTGAAGTAAGGACCTTGCGTACTTCTCCTGCAGTCTTCGCCTGAGATAGTTTTAGTTTACAATTATTTTAATTAAGTTTTCTTCATTTTTTTATTTACCTCTTTATATAGGTTTAAATAGTCGTGAGTCTTGGCATTGATAGATGGCAGATCCTTAAGGTTAAAACTTTTTATTTCATCCAGTTCCTCTATAGTAAAAACACTGCATTTTTGGTAAGTCAGTTCCCAGGGATCAAGCACAAATGAACGACAAAGACTAAAGGATAGTTCATGTAAACAAACAGTTTTTTTAAAAGACTTACTGTTCACATTGTAAAGTTAATCCAAAAATATATAGCACTTCTACTTTCTGTTTACTACATTTGAACATCCACATTAAATTCTTGTCCATTCTTTCATCTATTCTTCAATTGAGTCAAATTTAGTTTCTGATAAACAACCGAGTTAATACTTCTTTCTATTCGTCATTCCTATATTACAAACCTTTACAATTTCATCATCTTCTTAACTTCTAACTATATCAACAATACAGCTGTTGTGAACATATAGAATATATATGCATATGATGATCTGACACTAAATAAGTCTTCATTTACATACTAAATACATCATAATCAATTTACATCAGAAATAGACTTAAAAGAACCTCTTGTACTGAATAAGACAATGGATCTTTTAATAGACCAAGACTTATAACCGAAATCCATAATTTATATTATTTAATTAATTTAAAGTAGTCTATGATAATAGAGACTCAGTCATTTGCATGAACTCTACTACTACTTACTCCGACATCTCTTCATATATAAATACCTAGAGAATGAAGAGCTAAAAAACAGGGACATATATTTTTGGATAATAAACCTATACAAGTTCTAATCGACTTCTTTGTTTTTGTCTTCTCTCTTACATCACAACAACAGCGACATACATTTAGCATGATATACATTTAAAGTCAGTATCGCATTGTCCATTGTATACTACCTTTTATTTCGTATGTAGCTTACGGAAGAACGACTCGAGGATGGTTCAGAATCACTCATAGGTTGAGGCGCATGGCTTTGGGATGGCTCAGAATCACTTGATGACGCACTCTTCTCATTTGTTGCTCTATCACCTTCCTCTACTCCAAGATGTTCTAATGCCCCAATCACAGATAACCGCATTCTAGATTCTGCTGACTGTCTTGCCAATTCCACCTTCCGATTTTCCCAAAATGTAGTCACTTACTGGCTACGCCGCCATTTATTAAAAGCATACAGAACCGACTTTTTTATTGCGAATAGGATGAGACTTGATATATAGATAGAAAATACTAGCCTCTTATAGTACATTTTTTACTAAACCTTTTTGCGAGTACTTCACGAAAAGTTATTGGCTTCCAAAGTTGGTGTGTACATAGGAGTTTCAGTCTCCGATAGATGTAAGCCCTTTATCTTGTACTTATTCTATCGCAACACAGACGTCACAGCCTTTTGGAATATTTTCCCAGTAATATCATTGGCTAGAGAGTAGTTTATTGTCACGTGACCCCTATTATTACACACAAAGGTTAAGAAGATACTTACTGAACAGAATTGTCGATTTGATATTTTACTTAGGTCTGTACTCTTATAGTCAAGTCACGAGACAATAGAACGTTTCTTAGCCAATAGATTCACTGAGAAATATTCTGAAAACAACGTGACGTCACAGAAAGGAACTGTGTATTGATACAGTAAGTATAAGATGTTTATGTATAATAAATGTAACGTTACTTGTGTATTGATACAGTAAGTATAAGATGAAGAACTAGCAAGTATCAATAACACAGTATTTATATGTTTTCTAATTATACTAAAATATATAAACTATAACATATAGAGAAGGAAGTAATTAAATACTTAAAGCTGATTGATTTTTGTGTCTTGACGAATATAAAGTGTGCTTGGCTTTTCTAATGCGAATCAAGTTGAGGCGGACTTTCTTTCTTCTTTTGTTCAGTATTTGTGGTTTAAACCTTCGTTTGTTCGGATTATAGTTTGTTGGAAGGTTATATTCAACTTCAATTGGCTGCTTCTTACTGGAATTGCTATTTTCTGTGACAAAATAAAGTTTGGAAGTTGGTCTAGTGGTATGAATCTGCTTTTTGTCAGAAAAGGTCATGGGCTCGACTCCCATTGGTAAACTATTTTTGTCTACACATGCGACACTAATTTTTACTGATTTACTCAACGTATAAATAATTTTTACTCAACAAATACTACAAATGAATGACTTTTTCTTTTTTCTTGTCAATATTTCGACCGAGAAGAAAAAGTACAAATATTACAGCATTTTACAGCAATTGAAAAAGATAACATTTCTTTTGAGAAATAAAAGCCTATACAAGTCTAAAACAGCATATTTGAAGGAGTATAATTTGGGGCTTTTGTGTCTCAGGACTTTCATCTTCTCAGGCTCATGCTTGCTATTTTCAATAAGTTTTTCAAAATCGTTCTTGATAAACTTTTCGTTAGTGCCTGGCCTTTTTGCTTCAACGATCAATAGCTTGACTCCACTTTTTTTTTGTTAATATTCAATAGTCATGTCAGCTTTTTTCATACTTGATTTCTTTAGCTTGTGCTTTTAATAGTAGCTGCGAGCTCTGTTCAGTAATTATCAATCTCGGAATTGAATAGAAGCTTGAAACCAATTCACTACTTACCCTTCTACTGTAAACATATTTTTATTCAAGCTCTTAAGCGGTATTACTGTATTTATAACCTCAAGCACTGTGATGATCTGACATTAAATAAGTCTTCAATTACATACTAAAATATATCATAATCAATTTACATCAGAAATAGACATAAAAGAACTTCTTGTACTGAATAAGACAATGTATCTTTTAATAGATCAAGACTTATAACCGAAATCCATAATTTACATTATTTAATTAATCTAAAGTAGTCTATGATATTAGAGACTCAGTCATTTGCATGAACTCTACTACTACTTACTCCGACATCTCTTCATGTATAAATATGCTAGAATAATTTATAGTCAAAAAGAAGAACAATAAAATTGTATAAAACAGTCTCAAAGTATCTACCTTTGTCTCTATATTATCTTATCATATAACTCTCTATTATCAAAACATCACATCATCCTACCCTTTTCATCAGAGAGACTGTTCCACTATACGTCAAAGCAATACCCTGTCCAGACAACCAAGTTTGGACTTCTTTGACATTCTTCAATGCTCCAGTTCGGACTTTCATTCGTAGCAAACAAGCCGTAAGATGACCTACTCTTGATGGTCTACCGGTACCAATGCAAGTTTTTATTTCTGGCAACTCTTTTCTAATACGAGAAACTGTTGATTTGGTAACACCTGTTAGTTTTGAGACCTGACAAATCGATTTGCCAGATAAAAGTGCAGATTTGACATTGTTTCGTTTATCGTACGGGAGGCTGTAAGGCATGATAATAAGGAGAAAAGGTATGTATATAGAATGAAGAAAAGAGAATTTTTTTCTGAAAAGCTTGCCGCATTTATATGTAGTAGGGTAGGTTGTGCTAGAATTTGCCGAAGAATGTGGAAAACGCACGATTGAGAGTGCTTATTCGCCGAAGAAAATAAGGTATTCAAGTTTTGCAGGAAATTTTTTTGAAAACGCTACGTCATTTTTTTTACCTAAGTTGTCCAAAAATGGTATCCCTTACTAAATAGAGAAACTGAAGTAACAAGCAAAAAAATGCGCTTTTTCTGATACTAACACAAGGTCAATATGACGAAAACATATTAACTTACGCTTACAAATGAGTTTGATGGGACACTTAACGTAGCCACTGTATATGAAGAAGAAGAAGACAGCATCGTTGAGCGTACCACCAGTGCCAATAGCTCGGAAGATGTTGAAGACAGCGACAATGAGCTTACCATCCATGATAATGACTCCGAAGAAGTTGAAGGCAACGACCTTGGAAATATAATAAACATCAGTAATCCTGACAAAGCCTATGAGAGCGACGATTCCAGCATCGTCAGCATCAACAGATTAATGCATGTCTAACAGAGTGACAGCTTCATAAAATTTGTGTAAAGATACTACAATTGTTTGGTTGGTATTCGAATCTCGTTTTATAAGAAACTCACTAATTCTCATAATTTATTTAGGCACAAAAAAGGAAAGCTAAATCTTCACAAGTAGTTGCAAGCTCATTACTTGGTGAGGCTAGTGTCTACTCCGTAGTAGACAGGTTCACTTTGTCACTTTTAGACAAATGCTGTCGCGAAGAAAAACTAATGAATTTTCCTCCATATGAAATGCCTTCTACCGTATCAAATTTCATCAAGAAGTTTATTGAAGTTAGTTCTTTTGCACCATGTCCTTTTTAACTTTATCAACGTTATTTACCCTTCAAACAGCAAAAGATTTCAAGTAACAAAGACCTTGTGACTTTCGTAAAGCAAACAACGTTGGAAGAATAGTCAAAGAATGATGAGGAACTGAAAGCAGTGACTGAAATATACGACTATTTGTAAGTGATTGACTTTTACCACTGTTGTGAACATACAGAACCGACTTTTTTTATGCGAATAGGATGAGATTTGGTATACAAATAGACAGTATTAGCCTTCTATAGTACAGTTTTTACCAGACCTTTTTGCGATTACTTCACGAAAAGCTATTGGCTCTCAAAGTTGGGGTACACCTATAGACTTCAATCTCCGATACATTCAAGCCCTTTATCTTGTATTTATTCTATCACAACACTGACGTCACTGCCTTTTAGAGTAATTTCCTAGTAATGTCGTTGGCTAGAGAATATTTTATCGTCACGTGATTCGTATTACTGCACACAAACCTTGTGAAAATATTCACTGAACAGAATTGTCAGGGTATAATGATAATTCAGTCGATATATTGAAGGTGTTGTTTATTGTTTGCGAGTATGAGTCTTAATGTTGTCGGACCAAATACGGATAAACAGAAAAAAAAAGCCTATTTACAGATTGTAAACGGTCATAATTTCATCAATGGATTTTCACTTACAAATCCAGTACAAATAATTCAAAATACAATGGACAACAAAACAAATAGAATATAAGATAAATAATAACTAAGGTACATAATAATGTTAATAAATGTTCTTAAAAGCATCCTTCTTCAGATAACTACCAAGTATGTTCTTTCCCAGAGCAACCGGTTACTAAGACAATAGCCTTACCAAGGACAGACTCCAATTAACAGTATTGTGCAATAGCTTTCTTCTTGCTTATTTGTTTCTTTCCTTTCTCTTGTATGCTTCAATTGACAGACAGATAGATCCAATCTTCCCAAGATTTTCCAGATTTCTTCTTCAATTAAGTAGTCAGAGAAATAATATCTCTTTTTTGATTATAAGATTGTAAGATGATAATCA